TTGTGTTGGGCTCTGTGCTGACAGCTTGAAGCCTAGAGTCTGCTTCAGATTCTCTGTCTCCCTCTCTCTTTGCCCCTCTCCAATTCTGTCTCTCTCTTTCTCAAAAATAAATAAATATTAGAAAAGTGATAAGAAAAACATCCAGGGCCTGAGGAGGGAACAGAATAAGTAAGAAATTTGGAGCTAAGTTTTATTAGTTTTATGGGAAATATGCTTCAGATTGCCACATACTTAGTTATTAATTTATTTGACAATTATTTTCTGGATCTGAAGTATTTTCTGAATTTGAAAACTTTCTGAAAATTTCTTACCCAATGAAATGAATTATAAAAACAAATAAAAAATAGGGACCAAGAGTTCCCAAGAAAGTAAATAATTGGGCGGAAGCCACCCTGTACTTCTATTGAAGATTCCAACTAGTAGAGTTTAAAATGTTTGGATTTAGATTGTGAAAAACAATAAAATCTGTTCTTTCTCCTTAGGGCTACAGTTACTATGCAATTACTATGCTCCAATAGCTGTATTTAGTCTTTAATGCTTTGTATTAAATTATGTGATATTTAAATTTTATTGTATATATAGTTTCAGTTTTATTTTACTAGTGGAATTTACTGCTGTTTTCTGACCTCCACATTTCCCTTCTACTCTCAGGAGAGAGACAGGAGATAGAGAGGCAGAGAGAGAATGAACTTCATTCTTTATTTTTGTTATCAGGTAGCTAAACATTCGGAGAAATGAGCCCTGCTTCCCTAAAATGAAACATACCCTTAAGGTGTTTAAGGTAATCCCCTCTCCTTTGCTCATGGTTGGGTTAGAACTGGTCATGTGTTACAGTTCTAGCCAATTTAAACAAAACTTTTTTTAATGTTTATTCATTTTTGAAAGACAGAGAGAGATAGAGCACAAGCAGGGGTGGGGCGGAGAGAGAGGGGGACACAGAATCTGAAGCAGGCTCCAGGTTCTGAGCTGTCAGCACAGAGCCCGACACGGGGCTCAAACTCACGAACCGCGAGATCATGACCTGAGCCGGAGTCAGACATTCAACCGACTAAGCCACCCAGGTGCGCTACAGTTCTAGCCAATTTAACAAGAAGTTGCTGAAAGTTCTGGGAAGGAAAGATGCTCGGTGAGAAGCCATGCTTTCTTTCTGACTTGGAGGCTTAGAATGGTGACAACTAACTTCTAATCATGAAAGTAAAGCCTAGTGGAAGCAGAGAAAATAACTCAAAGCTCTGAATTCACCAATTCTACATGCTTACCTGTGAACATCCTGTAATATGAGATGAAAACATGTCACTTCTGGTCTGACGTTTCTTATTACAGCAGAAAGCATTCTGACTGAAATAGTGATATGTAAAATTCATACAAACACACATATAACATTTATGATTTTTCTTCTCATTGCAAAGGCTATCTATGTTCATTTGGGAAGTTTGGAATTATAGGAATTCATGAGAAAGATGATTTAAAAAAATCACTCAGAGATAAATATATCAATACATGTATTCTTCTATTGTTTCTACACATGCATTCTACACATTCTACACATGCATCAGTAGAGAGCCTAATGTGGGGGCTCAAACTCACAAACCATGAGATCATGACCTGAGCTGAAGTCAGATGCTTTAACCAACTGAGCCACCCAGGCGCCCCTAAATAAATTAATTTTAATTAGAGATTAAAGTCAACCTTACTCTTTTATTTAGTTTCCTATGGACACAATTTATACTAAGTAGACAAGCTCAAGGAATTGGTTCAACATTTGAAAGTACGCTAAAGGTAAAATAGATGAAATTCTAAATGTATTTTAACTGAGATAATATAATTGTGATACCCACTCCTCTTCCAGTATTTTTTTTTTCTTTCTTAGCTGTTATAGCTCTGTTTCTTAGGCTGAAATTGAATTAGTGCAGTCTTTTTTTTTTTTCAATTCATTGTTATTCATTTATGTAATTTCTTTAGTAAATTGAATTGCAAGAGGAAACCCAAATTGTAGCCAGGAGGAGACAACCAACATAGAATCTTAATTATCTGATATAGTGGATTCATTCTACAGAATATATCCTCTTTTCTTTCTTTTTTTTTTTTTTTTTACAAGGACTCCTCATCTTTTATGATGATTGGAGATAGAATAAATAACTAAAATATCAAATGTTGAATATTCTCTGTTGAATGGTATGTCTTTAATTTAAAGCCCCATTTACCTTTTATAGCTATACATTTTGTTTTAATGTTTGTTTATTTTTGAGTGAAAGACAGAGTGCGAGCATGGGAGGTGAGATAGAGAGGGAGACATGAAATCAGAAGCAGTCTCCAGGCTCTGAGCTGTCAGCACAGAGCCTGACACAGGGCTTGAACCCATGGACTGTGAGATCATGACCTGAGCCAAAGTTGGACACTTACCTGACTGAGCCACCCAAGTGCCCTGGGCTATAAATTTTAATTTAAATCCATATTCATATTATAATTTATGGGCCACAATATTTGTATAATTTACTTCCTTCTGCAAAGTTTTTCATTACATATTGAGCCTTGAGAGATTTCTAAGTCTCAAATGGTAAGTAACCAAATTGAAACAATCCAGTTCAATATTAACATTACTATGCATGCATATAAACAAATGAATATGTTCTGAGACACTTTTATCATAATAAACTTCCTTATACAAAATCAATGAGGAATTCTTAATCTTTTTTGTCACATGAGTTCCTTTGGCTGTCTGGTTTGGCCTAGATAGCCCTTTCAGGATAATGTTTTTAAATTCATAAAATAATATAAACAGAAATAAAAGCAGTTGTACTGAAATACAGTTCTGTGCATGGACCATAGGTTAAAGACCCCTGCACCAAATTTTGAATAGCCCTTTAGCTAATGTATCAAAAAATGCCTGAGAACATATCTAAATAGAACAGTTTCTTAAACATCTAAGAGCAAAGCTAACGTGTGTTCATTAAACACATGTCTAATAAAGCCCTTAAATTATATTGTGTATATATGTGTTGTTTTTGCCTTTAAATCTGGAAGTAAGAATTGTTATCAATTTAGGAATAAGTATATTATAAAGATTAAAGGAGAAGATTGGTTTTATTGTAACTTACAGATATTATTGTGTCATCTAGTAGAACCATAAAATCTTGGTGTCAATATACATGCCTTAAAAGTTAACCTTGAGTATTTTAGCATGTTACAAATTTTGAGCCTTGCCCGATTCAACTGTAGAGTTGGTACATGGATTAATTAAAGGTATGGGCTTAGTAAAAAAGAAGATATGAATGAAGGAGTAGAAGGAAGGATGTCAATGGTAACAAACAGGATCAGTTGAAGTGGAATTAGAAAATAATGTGTGATTGGACACACACACACACACACAACTACACTGAAAAGTATGTGTGAGCAAAATAAGTAAAGACCGTTGTTAGTCTAATTAGTAATTTACTTTCCACAATTTCACATGCCCTGGAAATTTTGAAATTACATTTCATCTTTGAGTGGCACTAAATATCTCATATGAATGTAATGGTATTTTACCTATTTTTTTAAAAGTTTATTTATTTTGGGAGAGAGAGAGAGCGCGCGCGCTCACATGACCAGGGGAGATTAAGAGAGAGAGGGAAAGAATCCCAAATAGGCTCTGCACTGTTACTGGGGAGCCTGATGTGGGGCTTCATCCTACAAACCAGGAGATAATGACCTGAGCCAAGATCAAGAGTTGAGTGCTTAACCAACTGAGCCACCCAGGTGCCCCTATTTTACCTATTTTTAAAAAAAGAAATTAAATGATCACTGAATTACTTCAAAGTCTCTTATAAGCTTTTCTCATAATGTATATTAGAGTCTCATAATTTTTATCCTTTTCCTTCTTTAATGGAACGTAGAAATAGGCCTGAGTAAAAAGAGGTATTGTGCCCACATATTTTGAAAATGATACCACTTAATGTGAATATCAGTAGGTGTTAGTTACACATTTACAGAGTTTTTCTTTATCTATTTTCAATACTTTGTTGGCTCCGTTGACTTGTATATATTGAAACTGTAATTTTCAGTGTTCCTCTGATGTATCAAATATCTTTTCACTTCTGCATTTGTTTAATTTATTATTTATTTTTCTTAGTGACTTGTGGATTATAGATTCAGTAAAATCGGAAAATAGAAAAACATCTCTCCTATTAAAACAGAGGGCATATTATGTATAAGACATGATCAGTATAGGTCTCATCTTGATTGTATTTAAAAACAGTGTTATATTAGTACAGTTAATTACCACAAACTCCACTGATTATGCAGCCTAGAGGAATGTTCTAACCCCTGTCCAAATATGAATCCTTCTACACTTGCCGTTTCTATGAAGGCACTTCATGCTGTCTCAAGACTGGGATGAAGGAGAGCTACTTGTAAGTCTTGTCAGGTGGTTGGAATGGATGGTGGGTTGGTTGCTGAATAATTCAAACTTCAGATGCTTTTGGAATCAAAGAAAAAATTAGATCCATTGCACTTTGTTTTTAACCAGAGGAGGGAAGATTGATCTTATGGGCAGGGGAAATACTCTGTCTGTGCTTTGCATATTGTTGTAGTGTAAAATATAATTGCTGCTAAGCCCTTGGAATAAAACTCTCAGAGGCATGCCTAGGTTAAGACTGTGTTGTGGTTTCTGAGCCTTACTTTTTGGAATCTCTTTGCTTAGGCCATGGCTCTTTTAAAAATTTACACATTATTAGACAGGGAGAAAATGATAAGAAATCTGTATAACATAGGAGTTCAGAAAGGGCAGAAATTAGTTCAGTTTATGGTTACGAGGTAATATTTTTCTTGAATTTTCTTTTTCTTTGTATTTTTTTTCTTTATATTTGAATTTCTGACAATGTGATTTCTAAAAGAATAAGAATGTTAACATTAAACTCTGTTTTTATATAAAAACGCTGCAACCTTTGTGTTTATTATTCTCATTTGATGAAATTCACTACCATGCTCTTTTTCACATGACTTCCTGCGTATTCTACCAATTACAGAGAGAAATATCCATATATAAGTGGATCAAAGCATGGATTTAAAAGAGCAAAAAGAAAGAAGAAGTGATTTACTGGATCTGACACCCTATTTAACATTTCAGGATCAAACCAGTACCAAATTCCTAGGACATAGTAGGGAGTCCAGCAGACAGTAAATGAAGTGGCAAATGCAACTGTCATCTTTAGGGTCCTCAGCCGAGCTCTTGGTATATTGTTCTTAGATTGATTCAGTTGTAATTCTGTGAGATAGAGAAAAAAGTAGGTGTTTAAAGACCAGTTTTATTACAAAACCAAAATGGACAAAAAAGGAAGAGAGAATCACTAATTCAAACTAATTACTGGAATAAGAACACATTTCCAATATTTTTAATAACGGTAATTTGTTTGAAAAGGATGTTAATGTTCCAGGTTTTCCACTGTTATGTCACATAATGAATAGAAAAGATTAAAGATGACAGTGCTCTTAAAAATAAGTTTCCATAGGGGCTCCTGGGTGGCGCAGTCGGTTAAGCGTCCGACTTCAGCCAGGTCACGATCTTGCCGTCCGCGAGTTCGAGCCCCGCGTCAGGCTCTGGGCTGATGGCTCAGAGCCTGGAGCCTGTTTCCGATTCTGTGTCTCCCTCTCTCTCTGCCCCTCCCCCGTTCATGCTCTGTCTCTCTCTGTCGCAAAAATAAATAAACGTTGAAAAAAAAATTAAAAAAAAAAAATAAGTTTCCATCAGGGGCGCCTGGGTGGCTCAGTCGGTTAAGTGTCCAACTTTGGCTCAGGTCATGATCTCACCGTTTGTGAGTTCAAGCCCCGCATTGGGTTCTGTGCTGACAGCTCGGAGCCTGGAGCCTGCTTCGGATTCTGTGTCTCCTCTCTCTGCCCCTTCCCAACTTGTGCTATGTCTCTCAAAAAATAAAATAAATGTAAAAAAAATTTTTTTAAAGTAAGTTTCCACCAAACTAATTTGGATTTGAAGCATGAAAGTACTCAAACTCTTAAAATATAAATTTAAAAAAATATAAAGTTGAGCTGAATTGAATTATCTGTTCACACAGAATTATACTTACTGAAATATCTCTGACAGTAGGATAATGAGGATCATGCATGGATGAAAGTGTGTTGTCCAAAATTGTCTTTCTCAACCATGTTCTATGATATTCAAAACAATTTCACTTTTCATACCAATGCATCACTTAAAGTTCGCAGGTGTGTGTGCGTGTGTGCATGGTGTATGTGGTGTGTGTGTGTGGGGGGGTGTATGTTGCCTGTGTGTGTGGTATATATGTGCTTACTGTATGGTGTGTGTGTTTTGTGTGTCTGGTGTGTGTGATACGTGTGGTGTCTGTGTGAAGTTTGCAACTTCTTGTTCATTGATCACAAAAGAGTGGAAATATGGAAGAAAACATTTATGTGCATGATGTTTTAATTATAAAATCAATTTTAACTAGAAATGTTAAAGTCGATAGTTTATTGAGTACAGATTGGTTATAGATTTTTGTCATACAAACGTAATTACCGTTTACTCTGTACCTTGCTATGGACCTTGTTCTTTTCATACATTATTTCATTTAATCTTCAGTATATGTAAACTTTAATGACATAAGTAATAAAAAAATCAGTAGGGATAAATACTTTAACACAAAAAAATCTTGGCTTAGCACGGGGGCTAGATTTGAAAAAATATTGATCCTCCTATAACATACTGTATTTCTCCCTCTTTTGAAATATCATCACATTTCATTATTGGTTTACTGTTTTACTATCTTTTCTGCTAGATGGTGGACTCCAGGAAAGTGGAATAGTTTACTGGCCTGTTTTATTCACCATGGTATCCACATCTATCACCATTTCTAGCAATATTGAATAGTTAATACATACTGGTTGAGTAAATAAAAGATTAAGTAACTAAATCTATGTTAATAATATTTAACTATTGCCCTTTGCCTCTGCTGTTTTCTTTTTCTGCTTCCGCCTCCCTCACGTTTCTTCAGATTCAGCCCTATTTGGGATCTATCTTCTTATTCTCTATGCATCCTTCTTAGATATCACTTATAGAACTGAATTTCTCTAGGATAAGATTTTGAAGGCAAATTGTTTTTGCAGTATACTTTTTAATAAGAATCAAATATCATTTTGTGCTGGGAACTGCCCAAGTTTCTATTATAGAGCATCACCATAATTCCTTTAGAAAAAAATCTGCTAGGAGTAATCACACTACAGTAATTAAGATGATTTTCCTATTAAGTTGTGCCAGGTATAACTTATGCATTATGCCACTGATAACATGTCTTTTGGATGTTATGATGACATAGTCATGTTTACTTTGCAAATTCATAAATTTTAGTTTTTGGGAAAGTACCAGATTACTGAAGCAAAAAAGGCACAACCACAGCTGTGAAAATTCAGATAAAAGTGTCAGTTACAACAGTATTTCACACACCAATGTATACACACACACACACACACACACACACACACAACACAAGCCCAGTGTGGAATAGGGGATTTGAATATGAAACAGAACAGCTGAACTTTAGCGAGTCTCTTGGCTACCATTTAACGAGGTATACTTTGCAATATTATAGAAATCAGGTGTTTGGTATGGTGTTATAGTGGCCCAGCAGGAGCAATTTGCCAATGCTTATACTGGGTAAAATAAAGTAGTTGTTCTTTCATTCTTAATTTCATGGTACAAATTTAGAACATTGGGAGATACCAAATGACCTCATCTGTAAATTAGGGATAGTAAAAGTATAATAAAAGTATTACCTCATAGGGTGAGTGTGAATAGTAAGTGAGCTAATGTATGTAAACTGCTTAGAACAGTGTCTGCCACATAGTGCATGTCACTCTGCTTTGAATATTGCTGTTTGAAACCTGTTTGCCCACAATTAACATTGAGTCTAAGGAATACATACTGTGGGGATCTTGATGAAGGACCTGTGTCAGGGTGAAGATGATTTTTGCATTGCAGATTAACATGATGAGAAGAGGGATGATGAAGAGGCAGCTGAAGGTGAAAAAGTTATAAAAGGCCTGATGCCACCATTGTGGAAAACTGCAGTGTGTGACACATTGAGAGAAACCATCTGTCTGCCCAGAGCTGTCTGCTAAGTGGATCATCCGGAAGATGTATAACTGTATGAGAAAAGAAAACAATTAAAAGATGGTGTTACTTTCTTTCAAACAGTATTTGCATGTTTTCTTGAAAGCTTTTTCCTTCTGTATTCTCCAGGTCTTCTAACACGTTGTTGCCCAAAGCAATAACTAAGCTCCTTGATGTAATCCTTTTGTCACTTCAATGAGAAGCTGTAAAGTGGATCTTTACTTAAAATATGTTTGGGTAATGTGAATGGATCTATAGGATTTTGGATTTTTTGGAAACTATTTCAACCTAGCAGAATGATCAGCAACCAGGGATTTAAACGTTGTATTTCAATTTCAGTTGCAATTATGCTGAGTAAACCTTTTGGAAGTGATTTTGTCCATCATAACTGTAGCAGCTAAAGCTGTATCTAGCAGTTAGAATGTGCTCCCCAAATACATACTTAAATTTTATTTTTTGAAACAGAAAACCCCATTCAAATGGTCAAAGACATGAATAGACCATTTACAAAAGATGTAACAGTGGCCCTTAAACACGTGAAAAGATGTTCAACCTCACTTGTGTGAAGAAAAATGCCTATTAAGGCTATAGTGACATGGCATTTTTCACTATAAGGATTGGCAAAAATTAAAAATAACATACTTTCATGGGCAAGTTGTAAGAAAATAATAGACTCTCCCACATTGCTAGTAGGAATGCAAATTGGCACAACCACTAGGGAGAAGAATTTAGCAATAGCTAGCATAACTATATCTGAATTTACCTTTGACTCAGCAATCTGAATCCAGGATTTTACCCTGAAGATACACTCCCACCTCTGTTATATGAAAATACATAGGCAGAAAGTTATTCATTGATGCATTGTTTGTAATTGAAAAAACATTAAAAATAACAAATACCAATTCATGGAACAGTAGTTGAATAAACTGTGGTGGACCACACAACAGAGTGCTATACAGCTGCAAAAAAAGAGTAAGGAAAATCTCTGTATATTTATGTGCATGTGTGTGTGTGTATTTATTTTCTAGCTGTCTTCTGGGAGCCTAGGAAAAATGATATCCCAGTAGCAATAAGCACATCCAGCACTCTAGTACCCAGATCTTGTTTTCTAAATACCATTCTCTACCAAAAGGAACCAGACAGAGTTCATTGGAGAGGTGAGTGAGCCCAAGGGTGACAAGCAAACTGCAATATGTGCTTGGAACAGTTTGTGCCAAAAAGCCAAGAAGTACTAAAAGAATAGTGGAGCATGTCAAAAAGAGCTCTGGAGCCAGCTTGAAAGTACTCCCATTGGTCAAATCTGGGACAGTTTAAGCATTGAAAACAAAACCAAAAATAAATAAACCAAAAAAAAAAACAAAACAACAACAAAAATCCTGATAAAAGGAATGATTAACAATAAAATGAAGAATCCATGAATTCTTGCTGATAGTAATTACAAAAGAATGACTACAAATAAATGGGGAGGGGAAAAAAGCTCTTTGTTACTGTAGAAAGCCAAATAATGTATAAGGAATAATGAAAGTAGTGATTACCAAATGGTAATAATAAGTGATTCAGGCAAGCATCATCAATGGATGGTAAAAACATGGATGAAATTTGAAGAAAGCAGGGTATTAACATCATCTTGAAGTATTTACCTGCAAGACAGCTTTTCTTATAAAGAGTAAAATTAATAACTTTACAGTAGATAACCAAATAATTAAATTAACATAGCCAATAATGGGACCAACTGACAACATCTGCTTCCTTATATAATGCATTGACAGGTACTAACCATCACTTCTTTGCTATCTTGGATTATAACCTTGGATTCTTTTTTGTTAAAAGGAACATTTTTGGGACAGTTGCTCAGGTATGAATAAGTTATATAGATTAGAATAGTATTTTTTTAGTGTTAATTTCCTGATTTTTGTTTGATACTTGTACTGTGGGTATGTGCCAGAAAAAACAAAACAAAACAAAACAAAAAAACAACACTGAAGTATCAAAAGGGACATCATATCTGAATTTACTTTTAAACAATTTAGAAAAAATTTATAGGAAACAAAGCAAATAAGTAATGTAGTAAAATGTTAATATTTGGGGAAACTGAGGGAAAGATACTCCAGAAAACTGTATGATTCTTGCAACCTTTCTCTAAGTGTGAAATTATTTTGTTGTTGTTTTTAAAACACAAATGAATCAACCATTTAAGAAACGTTGCAAAGATGACAGAGTAGTAGGGGGACCCTATGCTTGCCTCATTCCTTGAACACAGCCAGATAAATATAAAATCATTCTGAACACGCAAGTAATTGGTCTGAGGACTGAGAGACAATCTGCACATCTAGAGGGAGAAAAATGGCCACATAGTGGAAGATAGGAACTGTGGAGAGTTGTTGGGGCAGAAATGAATTGTAGGTGCTGTAGAGGGGAGGGAACCCTGATCACAGAGAGAGGGGAGAGAGAGAAAGCAGCATACAGGGGATTGCACAAGAAAAACACTTCCCCAAAAGCATTCACTGGGAAAATGAAAGGGGCTGATTATTGTAAGTTTTTACAAGCAGCAGAACTCAAAGTCTGAAGTTTTAGAAGTCTGCACCATTGCTGGAATCATGCCTGGCAGGCTTAGCGATGCTCCTGTGGGGAAGGAGGACAGAGGCCCAGGAGCAGACAGTGTGCTCTGAGGATCCTTTGGGTTGCACTGAAAAAGACATTTCCCTTATTGGAGTGTATTTGGGAGAGGTGGCTTTGCCTCTCAGAGGACAAAAGAAATGGTGGCACCATTGAGAGGTCCCATTAATTAGCATAGCAGCAGAGGCACCTGCTGAGGACAGCTAACCTGGAAGTCAGTTTTTGGCTGTGTTTTATCATAAACTCTGAGCCCCTGCATAGTTGTGTGACTTCTCTTCTGGGACAAACTGGCACCAACCACAGTGCAGTGAGAACTTTCCCTAAAAGATCAGTGCATGTCCCTAAAATTTGGAGTTTGGAAACCCAGCCACATGCCTGAGCTAAAACACAGGAGCACTGAACCAGATAGCTCAGACACAGACAAGGTGAAGGCAGAGTTCTGATGGAAGCCTGGAACACAAGAGTAGAGATTGTTCACACTTATGTGAGGGCTTGCTGAAAAGAGATATGTGTGAACTCCCCTTTCCTGGGACAAGAAAATGAGGTGGCACCATTTTCACCCACCCATCAGCACAGACAGATTTCAGTGAGCAACACAGCACTCCCAGAGGAGGCTGAAGCTGCTTACATCAAGCCCTGCCCCACTGTGCCCTGCAGGTGCACCTCTACTAGGGCAAGTCAGCCTGAGAACCAGTGCAGCAGGCCCCTCCCCCAGAAGACCAGCACAAGCCCCTCACCCTCCATATGTACCAAGTCTACTGACCATAGAGTGATGCAACGCTTTAGCTCTAGGGGGAACAGGATCTTGGCTTTTCTAACAAGCAGACCAAAACCAACTGGTTAAAACTTGCCACATCAGGATAAGGTCCAAACACTCCTCACTGCAGGTAAGAAGAATCTCTGCAGAGGACTGATCTGAGGGGAAAAAGCAGCCAAGACACTACAGCAGGGTGCACACAGCATACACCAAAAAAACTTTCTGAAGTGCCAGGCCCTGGACAGTATATAACCTCTTCTTGATATAGCCATTATATTCAGAGGCAGGAAACGTAACGGTCTTTCCTAACAATAGAAGACAGAGATCTAGGCAAATGCTAAGATGGGAAAGTTCATCCCAAAAGAAAGAACAAGAAGAGGTCGCAGCCAGGGATCTAACCAAAACAGATGTAAGTAATATGCCTGAACTAGAATTTAAAACAACAATCATAAGGATACTACCTCAGCTTGAGAAAAGTATAGAAGACACTAGGGATTCCCTTATTGCAGAGATGAAAGAATTAAAACCAGTCAAGCTAAAATAAAAAAATGTTGTAACTGAGATGCAAAACTGATCAGTGTAATGACAACAAGGATGGAAGAAGCTAAGGAACGAATAAGTGATATAGAAGATGAAATTAGGGAAAATAATTAAGTTGAAAAGAAGCAGGAGAGAAAAATACTGGATCATGAATGTAGACTTAGGGAACTCAGTGACTCCATAAAGCATAATAATATTTGTATCATAGGAGTCCTAGAAGAAGGAGGGGAAAAGGGGCAGAGGGTTTATTTGAGTAAATTATAGCTGAAAACTTCCCTAATCTGGGGAAGGAAACAGACATTGAAATCCAGAAGGCATAGAGAACCCCCATCAAAATCAACAAAAGGAGGCCAACAGTAAAACATAGTAGTAAACTTTGCAAAATACACAGATAAGGAAATAATCCTGAAAGTAGGAAGGGAAAAAAATCATTAACCTACAAGGGAAGACAAATAAGTTTTGCAGCAGATCTCTCCACAGAAACTTGGCAGGCCAGAGGGAGTGGCATGATATAGTCAATGTGCCACATGGGAAAAATATTCAGCCATCAGTGCATTATCCAACAAGACTGTCATTCAGAATAGGAGGAATGATAAAGAATTTCCTAGACAAACAAAAACTAAGAGTTTGTGATCACTAAACCAACCCTGCGAGAAATATTAAAGGGGACTCTTTGAGTGGGAAAGAAAGACCAATAACACCAAACATTAGAAGGAACAGAGAAAATCTCCAGAAACAATGACTTTACAGGTAATACAATGGCACTAAATTCATATCTATCAATTAATCACTCTGAATGTAAAAATGACTAAATGCCCCAATCAAATGACATATGGTAACAGAATGGATAAAAAAATAAGACCCATTGCTGTGCTGCCTACAAGAGGCTCATTTTAGACCTAAAAACACCTGCAGGTTGAAATTGAGAGGATGGAGAATAATTTATCATGCTAATGGACATCAAAAGAAAGCCAGAGTAGCCATACTTCTATCAGACAAACTAGATTTTAAACCAAAGATTGTAACAAGTGATGAAGAAGGACACTAAATCATAAGTAAAGGATCTATCCAACCAGAAGATCTAAGAATAATATCTAAGAATATATCTAATAAGATCTA